TTTCGTAGTTTGTATCGCTGTCTTGGACAATAATCTATGTCCAGTTTTGTAAAGATATATTTAAAAAAAAAAAAATTTTCATACAAGCACTTTTTGGTAGAGATCCGATGTCGGCGGTTCCGACAATTGAGCAGTGGATAAACTTTCAAATCGATATCTCAAAAACTGAGGGACACTAGTCGCTTACAAGTATATAAAGATGGACAGGACTAAAACAACGCAGCTCATCACACTGATCATTTATATATGTATACGTTATAGGGTGTACGTCGTTTCCTTCTGGTGGTAACAAACACCTTACTATACCCTATTTTATATATAATAATAAGTGATTTGTTTAAGTCGCCCAAACGCAAGATGCCAAATATACATCGCAAGCCACAATAAAAACGACAACGAATTCCGACACGGCTGCTAAGTGGTGCAACAGCTGTGGCAAATGTGTGGCATAAACACATACCCATAAATATTTCCAGTATGCCTCTGTTTAGGATGAGTATTTGTTGTGCTATTTAAAAGTCAGCGCTTGTTGTTTACCAGTTTTCAATTAAACCATTTTTGGCTTGCGTAGGCATGGCAATTCTTCCGGTGCGTCGCCACCCTAATAACTCTGCGAAAGTGCTTGCGTCTGCTGCCATAGTGATTTGGATGTATTTTAAAGGGATGTATGTGTGTGTGTGTGTTGATTCTTTTTGCCTGCTACTATGTTTGTAATGACTCTTGTATGCTACATAAACAAGAAGCCAAAAATAATTTACCGAAAAATAATTTTACAGACAGCTGACAAAGAGAAAATGAAAATTTCACTACGTCAGTCACGCAGTCAGGCCGTCAGGCCATCAGGCCGTCACACAGACAGTCTGTTCGTTATTATAGTTGAAGTATGTGGAGCAAACACAATAGAATAAGAGAAATATATGTGCATCAAGCTGTATATATCGTATTTGCATTTAAACGGGAGAATATTAAGGTGGAACCGCTTTCACAAGGAAATATTTAATAAAATATATACTCGTACATACCTTGATGTTTTAAATTTCTTGTTACAAAACTTTTCTTTAGCAAACTTGAAATATATTTAATATATAAACTGAATAATATTTTTAAATGAATTTTTTCTGAGATTGGCCCTTTATATTTTTAGGAAAAATTTATCCTCCAAAAGCCTGAAATTTCCAGTTATTTCTTGTAATAATATGACTTTACACACTTGAAAATATAATTTTTGAATATATTTGATATTTCAATAATATTTACTAATGCTGATATATATTTTATTATAAATAAACAGATTTTTTAAAATTTGAAAAATGCTTAGAAATAATATAATTTTAGTATAAAATAATTTATTCAATATTTTCGACCTCAACTAGTGCGTGTGTACTGTTACTTTTTTATAATATTGACTCATATAAATGTAGGTATTTAAATAAACATATTAGTATATCGAGAATCCTTTTGACATGCTTGAAATACTTGCCAGTTTAATAAAGCCAAAACAACAAGGACACACCTCCGAACATACTTCCTACACATATGAATATGTATAATGCATCGTCAAATATTAATTTTATGAAACAGACAGTAAAATAACTCTCCTTTTAATATACTCAAAAAGCAAAATATCTTGTATGAACTTAGGGTAGCCAAGTAAATGTGTATTATTGAATAAATAATTTGGAAATTTTTTAGACAAAAAAAATATTTTTATTCATACAAAATAAATATTAATATTCATTCTTTTGAAAATATTTTTAAGTTTTTTTTTGTAAACAAAATTCTGATTCATATTCTTGCGACACTAATTTCCTTCAAATATATATAGTTTTTGAAATATTTGCGGCATTTTAAATATGACTGTTCAAAAATATATCCTTGGCAACTCCTGGCAGTATTGCAATTAAACAAGGATAACGTTTTCCAGAAATGCCATATAATTTTTATGATTTCAATTTTGGCAAAACATTTCTAACACATGCATCAAGCTACATATATGCAACTCCATCCACATGTGAGTATTTGTACCAAATATATATACATTTCTGCTCCGCCCGCCCTGGCGTATGAGTAATGAAGCTGAAAATGTAGAGAATATTCTCGCAAATTGTTTTCATTTGTGCAGTCGTGCATATCCACACGAAAACACTTCGCTTTGCTCACACACATACATAGACACAAGTACGCATACACAAACAGGCAGGCAAAATTAAAATATCTAATGGTATACAGCGAAAAGTGGTCGAAAAAATGCTGTCAAGCATAGTATGTATTTGACTGTGTTTGTGTGAGTATTGGTATATACTTGCATTAGTACTTGAAGTTTATTACCATGAAATTGTAAGTTACACGCCATAAAATGCGGGAGAAAAAGAATTCCACTTAAATGGAAATGTAAGTGAATGTGAAATCCAATTGCTACTGGCATGACAAATGAGGCGTAAAAGCAATGAAAAATCATCGTTACTTAAGAACACGTCGCTAAATTCTTAAAAAAATTCTTGCACTTTTTCGAATTTTTAATTGAAAATTTGCTACTAATGTTAATAAATTTATGAACCTTTTAAGATGAGAGACATTTAATGTTGATTTTACTGGTATTGGATATTTTTTAGCATTAATTTTTCACGCTGCAATACTAAATTTAAAGTTGCTTACTTGCACTAAACCTCTCCGCAATTAGACAAAAATTGTCAACATATATACAGTGTCGAACAAAAAATAAGAACACTCATTAATAATTATGATTAAAACGGAAGGTAAAATATGATGATTTTCGGCTGAGGTTTTCATCATGTTAAAGCAACGAAGTGAAATTCTCTGCAAAAACACTTTTTCAGCTACAAAAGTCGACCTATTTAAGGGAAAAATATTATATTAAATATTATAAATATTATTAAAATTGGAACAATGGAATAAGAATCAAGTTATGCCACCTATATATACAAGTATCAATATAGACCCGAAAGTAATATTATCAGCAATTTTAACAAGAATATTAGGTAGTTATGGAATATATTAGAAAATCACACAATTGTAAAACAACTGCTTCTCAAGGGTTTTCTATAGTCCCTAAAATAATTGATATGTGTCAAATACTATTTCTTTACACTTCTCTTCATGTAGATAACTTTCGTACTGCCATTGCTTGCCACGGACTTTTTCTTCTAGAAAAATTAGTAATCAACAATTTTCTGAAGTGCCCTCTGCCAAGAAAAAAAAACAAATATATTTAACACTAAACTAGTTAGATTCCGAGATACTCACTTTTTTTAACATAAAGGTATGATTAAATGCTGACAACTTAACTTTAGTTGAAAGCTGCTATTCGATGAAAAAGCTAGCAACGAAAGCACATAATCATTTACCACTTAGTAAATAAAATCATTACGGATCAGATGCTTTCAAAGCTTTATCTAAATTTTATGTGACTTAAGTTGACGCCGCTGACCCCAAAAGGTCCGCTGAGATTGGTTGAGTGCCATCGACTGCACACCCACCTGCTTTCACTGGTACTCGATGCGCTCAAAAGTGGCGATGCTGAATAAGCTTTAGCGCAAAACTTTGTCTAAATGCTACTAAATTATTGCATTGTCATGAGGTGCGGCACAGCATAGCAACAACTACAGCAGCATAAATAGAAGAACTCATTCGCAAGCATTAACTTATTGTCGTCTTCACTCACTAAACCCACACCTGACAACAACGAACAAGCATAAGATGCAATGAGCAACAGCGCAGGGGTCGCATATTGGACTAGCCAACAGGCGAGCGGCTGCAGCATGCCACTTAAGTGCGCCAGCAATGACTAAGTCAAATAAATTCTTTTCTCTCATCTTTTTTTGTTTTCACTTGCTGACGCTCACCAGCCTCGTTCTGCTGCAAGTGCAGTCTCAGTCACTTCCGCCGAACTGTGACTAAACCGCAGTCGTGTAAAAACAAGTAAACTTGAATTGGGAAGGACAAGGCGTACAAAAAATTATTGGTTGAACTGCCACCAAGCAAGTTCAGGTATAAGCCACACCGTTAGTCAGCTAACAGCCAACACGTTGTGGAGGCAAGGCACTCTGCAGTCTGTATGCCGCAAAGGTGGCAGCAGTTTCGTTCGATTGAATGGGAAAAACTTTTCGCTATGCATTTACATTACTTCACACAAGCGCTGCCTCTTACCCCGCCTCATGACAGCACGGCTACCGTGCGCTCTCGTAGGTATTCGTATTATTATAGCCCACTGCACTGCAGTTTGTTGCTATGGTTTTTGGCAATAAATTTCTATAGCCGGAAATTTATTCGCCCACAAATGTTGGGTTGTGTACCACGACTGCCGGTCGCTGCTCTCACCTAGGGTAGAGTAGGCAAGGTAACAGCAAGCAACAAGATGAAAAAAAAAATACAAAAAAAAATCATTGCATGCATTACGGCGCGTCGAGTGAAACAGAAGAATAATATGGAAAGGCGGCGCAAAAAAGGTGCGCAAAACAAAAATCAAAGCATACTTTACGGCGCGTAAGGCTGTACTTAAACTTGAACACTTCAGCGTGAGCATTTCGTTTTGCTTTTTGTTGACTTTGCGGCGCATATTTTAGTTTGCCGCTTTCAACATTTTTTAGCTCTGTATTCGCAACTCTTCCAAAGCGTGAAAAAGTGCATTTTTGCGGCTTAACCTGGTACTTTCAAAAGCGCACCGCGCTGCCTGCTCTCAGCTAACTTCAGCCACTACTACTGCTAAGTACTTGACGGTGTTTGTGCGTCTGTTCTCGTCAGTTGGCGTTAAACTTTGAAGTTCAAGGATAACTTAAAGCGCAGGCAAAGTGAATGGGCACACTAAAGCTTAAGCTGCTTAAATTTTGTATAACATACTTTAAGGCTGCGTAACAGTTTGTTGCGTTTAAAGCGCTATTTACATATTTATTGCATACTTTAAGGCGACGTTTAAACTCATGTAATGCTTGCTGCATATTTTTATGCATCTTCTTAATTTTTGTTGCTCTTACACATTTCAGGTCAAGCGTTTAACCATGGGCTTGTTGCGTTCAAATGAGGAGTCGCGACCGCTTGTCAGCATTGGCACACCCACGGGCACAACAAATACAAACACACTGTGCAACGCCAGACTACATAATTCGGCAAGCAACAAAATTTATTCGAATGGCTATATTAATGAGGAGGCCTTTGAGCCGGAGAAATTTATTGCGAGCAAATTCGGTGATTCCTGCCGGCAATCGCTGACGGCTATACCCATGCTGGACACTGTGAATCTGAACGACAACACCGAGTTCAATCTAAAGAAGCGTTATTTGCGTGAAACGAGTAGTGGTGAGTAGATAATGAAATAACGGTAATTATATTTACCACACCTATTAATTTTCTGAAACTTTATCTTAGAAGCCATCTTTACGAAAAGTTTCCAATAAACGTTTTTTTGTTTAGGAATTTTCTATGAGAAAATCACGCGGTCTTTTTATCATAATTATCTTTTCTTTAATCTCTGCTTTTATTTCAAATCTTACAACAGCAAATTCCAGTCCGAAAATATTCGCCAATCGCCTGCGCAATAACACATTATCAGCAGCCATGCGCTCCAGCACCACCACCAATTCCACTACAAATACCACAATCACAGCGGATGCCTTAGATGAAACCGAGGAAGCTGATCTCAAGGATGCCTCGTGGTTTCAAGCTGGTATTTCACGTGACATAGCCGTCGAAGTGCTGTCGAGCAAAAGTCCTGGTGCCTTCTTAGTGCGCAAAAGCACCTCCAAGCCGGGTTGTTTTGCCTTAACGCTGCGTGTGCCATCGCCACCTGGACCAAAAACGGCGAATTACATTATACTACGAACGGCGAGAGGTTATAAAATAAAGGTGAGTAGTTAGTCAACATTACAATAATCGTATATACTTAAATTCTTTTCAAAATAATTGTTTTCCAACCACAAATATTCCCTATTAGGGCTTCCGCAAGGAGTTCTCCACGCTGCAGGCCTTAATAACTCACCATTCTGTTATGCCGGAATTGCTGCCAGTGCCGTTAGCCATGCCACGCCCAACAAATATGACCTCATCGAGACGCAATATCGATGACTTTGACACTTACGATTCACTACAAATGTTGGTGAAGTACTTACGCGCAAAAACTTTGGAAAACGAGTAGTGTTAAATTGCGCAGTGGCGTATATTTATAAGTAAAGTGGCTATAGTTTGGTCTTACCTGATGTGAATAAGCACAAAAGAAGCACAATATATGTTACAAGCTATGAAAATTTGAATTACTATAAGCTAAATAAATACCTTACTGGAACATGCATACTCGTTCATCCAAGCTTGGTACTCTTAAGTCCCATCTTTTCACAGCATAATTTATAATTTCCCATTGCTTTACAAAAAGCATACCCTCTACGCACACAAAATTGTTTAAAATAAATATATATATTGTAGATATGTATATGTATCAACATATTTGCGTATGCATGTTAGTAGATATATGAAAGCAAAAACAACAAAAAAAAACAAAAATGTCTATAGAAAAATGTGATATCATTAAGTGACACTACAGGTGACTGCGGCGCACGAAAATGGCTCCAGTTGCAAAACTACTTACATAGTTTACTTAGTCTGTATGTATTTAATGTTAAAGTTGTTTGGTGTGTAACTGTTAAGGGTGGCAAACGTACACTATTACGCATTTATATGTATGTGTGGCTATGTACAAATATTAATTATAATTATAGCATTATTATTTGTGTAAGGAAACGCCATGTTTGCAGCAAACTTTGAAAAGTTTTCGGTTCATTGTAAATATAGTTTATTTTGTGCAAAATCAAAAATGTGAGACATGCAAAATAAATTTGTTTAGTTTTCATAAGAAATGTATGCGGATTTTTTTCAAAATTGCTGGCGATGGTGAAATGGTGAGTATGTTGCAAAAGGCAAGGACTTTCAAAAAGGGAAGTTTCCAAATTGTTGCTTATAATCACTTGAGGGGCTCTGGCAGAGTTTTTCTTAAGGGCTTAATTTAAGCTACAAGTTCAATAAAAAAAAAATTTCGGGTTTTCCCGGACATTTTCGTGAAGAGACATTTTATTATATAAATACATCAAACACATGCATTTTTAGAAAATTTAATATGCTTCAAGAGCCGCCTAATCTTAAAATTATTGATTAAACTTGCGTTTGAAGACACGGAAAACGTTAAATCACATTATTAAACCTGATCATAATGGCTTATAGATAAAATACGTTAAACTCGAGTACTACCGCAACCGTACTTTGATTTATTTTTAGGATAGGTAACCTTTACCAAAATATATCCACATCAAAAACCTACCGTCTTCACGACACGCTTTTTCAAAAACTTTATGTTTGCATACATTTTGTAATATCCCCTTTTTTTGATGACACGTAAGTATGTCCCCAAATACAATATAACATAATTAATTAAAGTATCTTCAAATAATTTACTAAAAGCTTTCTGTGCTTCGGATAGACAGAAAAAAAAGAAGTCAATTTAAATCCCCACACAAAATTTCAACCCAACCGATAAAACCGTTCTTTATCTTCTCAAAACCGGCCTTCAAAATATATATATATATATTATATATTTTTTAAGTTTGTCATTATTTAAGTCAATCATTTTGTTATATTATATTATTACTCATTCTGCTTTGGTATTAGTTCACATAAAACCCGGCAGGAAACAATAATCGAAGACACGAAAGGTGGCCAAATAACTATACCTACGCAAGCAATAAAACTAAGTACGTGTAAATACGAGTAAAACACATGTTGGACTATTAGATGAATGCAAACAAAATGCAACCCTGCGCTATTTTCTTACGTCACAATGACACAACAATGGCATTGCTAAAGTCAGTCATATTTTTCCTCTCTGAAAGATGAATTACTATATTGGCGATTATCAATTGTGCTTAAAATTTGCTAGTGAATAGTAATCAACTAATAAATAATAAAAAAACTTATTGAAAGTTATTTTCAGCAGATTTACTCAGTTTTAAACCCATAACTAGCAGCGATGTGGTACATTTTCGAAAGCATGAAAATTTAGTTTGAAGAAAAACAGAAATGAAATTGATATTATCAGATACCTTATGACCTTTGTATTGAAAATTGGCATTACTTCTGAAGTGTGCCTAGTAAACTCATATTTACATTGAAGAAAATAAAGCACTTAGTAGTATGCCAAAAGCATTTTTCTATACTTATTAGGAAGAACAACTATTCTAACCTTTAATTTAGTATGTTTACAGTGAATAGCTTATAACATGACTTAGGCTGGATATGAATATGAAGCAAATGCTACAAGCACGCAAAATATACAAAGAAAAGCTGGAAGTTTAAAGGACATCACTAAATGTACTGGACATTAATATATATTTAAGAATTTTTTCACATCCGTCGATTTACTGGCCACTCAATGAGTATACCATAACCAAACGGGTTTGATTGTTCGGTGATATAATATTTTTTAAATTACATATGTCACATATTCCACTCCCTTATAATATTTGAAGTTGACTTGGTCTCTTAACTCCTTCAGGACCTACCATTCACTAAGCTAAGTGCTTTTAGACTTCGTTATTTGATAGTTTTAAAAATTTAATTTTACTTCTTAGTGGGTTACGCCAGCGAATGTGTTCTCAAGTACCCACACACGCACACGCACGACACAACCTAGATATGTGTATATTACAAAGTGTGTTTTGTTTGTTTGCTTCACTGTCGTCTACGCTTCGACAATGAAATCGAAAAACTCTGCTCATTAAGAAAATTGTGTTCATTCAATGTTCAATTAAAAAGTTTTTCCGCTTATGCAAAAACAAAAGCAACGCCACACAATTGAAATTTATAATGGCTACAAAAACAAAAAAAAAAAAAATTCAAATATGACGCAGCAAACAAAAACAAAGTGATGGCATCAGCATTTAGAGAAGTTGAGGTGCTTATATGAAATGTGACGAAAATCATTTTTATGATAGGAGTGAAAACAAAAAAGAAATCTAGAAATTTTATATATAGAAATGTATGAATGCCGCACTCACACACACACAAACGCAAGTCTCGAATGCTTTGAAATTTGCTCGCCAAAAAATGAGTAAGCGGCTCCAAATGGTTGGTGTGGAGTGTGAAGTGTAATAAGCTGACTCTGTTACTTTTGTGTACGGAGAAAACTCTCTCTCCTGTTGTCTTTCATTAAGTAGCATTTCACATTCCCTCCGCGTACTTCCAGTTATCTTCTCTACCTTGCTGTTATAATTGATTTCGAACAGCGCTCAAGATCTCAACGATGGCGCAGCGCTCTCGAATTGTTTATTTGCTTTTTAAATATTTAATGAGAAATTGGCAGGAAGGACTTATTTTTCCAATGGCTGCTGTCTGCTGCTAAAAGTTTGCTGTCAGCGGGTGGGATTTTTGGATGTGAGAGACAAGTAGCGAGCCCCCAAAGACGCCAGGTATCCAAAGCTGTCACAGCTGACTGCAATGTGTTCTTTATTCGTTGACTGCGTCGCATTAGGGAAACTCGGCAGATATTATTATTTTTTCATTGAAATAAATTTCACTGTTCTGAGAAGCGCAAATTTGTTTGATACAAGCAACAAAAAAACAACAACAAATATCATATGATGTAAATGCGACTTTGACGTTGACGTTGACTTTGACTTTGAGTGCGGTGCAATTTTTAATTTTTTCAACTAATTATTTAAATGTGCTTTTTTTAGGTTAAATGCCTGCAAGTTCGGGATGCGCATTCATGTGTAACGGAGCTGATAATTGCAAAATGTTGGAGTAAAACTTTTGCGTTGTCAATAGCTGCAGACAAAGGGAAGAGGGGGTGTCATATATATACCAAAAGTAATAATTACACTAACACACTGTAGCATCGATGCTCAAAACTTCGGGATGCGACTTCAAATGTATTGGAATAAAAACAAAAATATGAAAAGAAGCTAAGAAAAACTTGAGAAAAAGGTTTAGAAGCTCTTCTGTCAGAACAATTACTATTTTCCGTTGAAATTATAGAAAAACCCTTTTTGAGAGCAATGCATTACTGAAATAACTACTTTCATTTAGTAAATATTTCTGATCAAGCTAGAAATTGAAAAATGTCACTAAAAATTTGTATGTAAGCTTAAATATTTTTATATATCCTAATTTTTTCAAAATATGGCACCCTTACCAATATAATCATGGAACTACCTAATATCAGATGGCTGCCATAAAAATAACTGTAGTATATCCGCAATATAGTGGACGACAGAGGGATGTGTTTTTCTTCGACAGCTATGGCAAGATAGCTTTTATAGCCTTGAGCTCACTGGCCGTATACTCGAAACTAGTTAAGTATCTACTATAACTCGAGAAATATTTCTCAATTTCGTAAAAAAAATAATTCAAATTTATTTTAGCTGCATTGAGACTAAGCATAAAAGCATTGTAGTGTAGAGTAAGGGCAAATGAATCTATAAATATTTCTTCTTAATTGATTCCACTCTCTATGTAGTATATGTATCCAATAGCAAACTAAGCTACTCTTCCCCTTCGAAATTCAATTAACAGATTTCTACTCTAGGGCGCTCATCAACAAGACACTACCACTAATGAACCACGCTTCATTTACATAAAATTAATCGGACTTAAAATTTTGTTAGTATAATCTTAACTCTTGTTTCAGACACCGTTTAGTCTATTTGAAAACTATTTTCACAAAATTCTAATATTAAGTCGAATTGTAAACCTCCTTCCGCATGCTTTTAGCATATCAATGAAATAAAGAAGTCAAGAAAAGTTGAAAAAAGGTAGACACTCGCAACGTCTTTGAAGAAATTGGCAACTTTTTAATGTAATTTGTTCGCCAACACGCGCGTCAATGACTTAAGCAGCTATCTGCAATAACAAGTGCTACAACAACAATCAAGACAAGCAACAAATGGTCTGCAGCCTAAGAAGCGCATGAGTCAACGTCCAACTCACACCACAACAACATTCATCTGATACAGCTGTTCGCCGGCGCAAGTTAACTTTATACACGACAGTTGGAAATGTGTACAGAATTACCGCAATTAAAAAGGATTCCAAGTAGGACAAGCAGCAAGCGGAAATTACTGGTCAAAGGATACAAATTAAATTCCAACTTTGATTCGATAACACTTTTTCTCTTCGCCGCCTTCTTTCATCCGTGCCATTAGAGCATTTTTCTTCATTGGATTTTCACGCTTCGTTGCAATGCGTAGAAACACTTTTCCGTTCTTATTTTCCTCTCGATTTAATTTTCTCTTCGTTAGCTGACTTTACTACGTGCACGCGAGGGCGCGCTCGTTGGTAACAAATTAAAATTGGATAATGTCGGTGCATCAACATAAAAAGTTGCAAATTGTGCTGTACTTTGCTACAAAAGTAGGTGATTAGGGAAGCTAGGCGCCACACAGTCGGTGCGTGAGGGAGAGAAAACGTGAAGTGTGTAAAGGGTATATACTTTTTATGGCACGTCCATAACACTCATGAAAATGTGTGAAGCGCGAAATGTTTTAGAGAAAACACCCCAAAATGGAATATTTGACGAAATTTTCATTGTATGTGTAACAGTTTTTGGATGAAATCGAAATTTAGAAAAGTTTAATTTTATATTTAATCCGGTAAAATTAGACAGAATAAAGGCTGAAGTTACATAAACTTACAAAAAGCTGAAAATTTTTGAATATGTTCAAAACATGATTAAAAATAACATACGAAAACACGTCAGCGTTCTGATATTTAGAAAAAATTACTGATGATGAGGTCAAAGGTCAAGGTTCGACATAACAGAGGGGTCATACTTAGACTGGTTATATTCAGTCCTTTGTGAAGTTGTTGA